AAAACGACGTAAGTCGAATTTACCTGTCTCCGAATCTACTTATCACTAGGAAAGCATTTTAAATAATATATGGTTAATAAAAATCTATTTTAAGCTTACAAACAAATAAATTTTAGTTTTTAATATAGTACAAAAAAAATAATCTAAATTTACGAATGCGTGTACTGTAAATACAGTACATACTTGTATATATTTTAATATGATTTTATGTGCTTTAAACGTTTATCTAGTGATATTACGACTTCAATATTTGTGGCGGACAGACGTAAAGTCGAATAAAATGACTTAAACTTGATTTTTATTTTTCCATATACTTTTTTAACAAGCGACGTATAATCGGGAACGACGTAACTCGAAACGACGTAAGTCGAGGTATGCCTGTACATGCCACATTTGTTAGGAAATTCCTGAATACAGACACACACACTGACACACTTATTTAATTTTAGTTTTGTTTTGGTTGCTATGCCTTGACTCTGGTCCGGCATAGTGCACAGCCACCGGTGTGAACCGAGTATAACTCACAAAACCCAACATAATAATAATAGGTTAGTGGCATTACATGATCCTATTAATAGTATCATATCATACGTTTTTGAGGGTAATAACAATTTGATGTGTTATGTTGAATCATGGGTGTGTCGCAAGTAGAAAAAGGTTGTGGAACACTGCTCTAGAGAACCATGGACCCCAGTTTGAGAACCATTGGTTTAGATCAGGGGTGTCCAACCTTTTTGTTCCTCTGGGACACATTGGAAGAAGTCATGGTGTTTTGGGCCACAAGTATATATAATATATTTGTGACTCAATCCTTAAAGATACAAGTATATTTAATGATTAACGTATCTAGATTATAGTAATANTCTGTTCTATATTTGAAAAAGATTTTTAAAATTAAACATGATTAATTCTGAATTACAAAGTCTGTTATCAATTGAAAACTGAACTTATTTGTCATGGCAAAATTAATGGAAATTCTGAATATTTGAATATATGACAAATTATTAAATAGTAAAATAAATTCTAGTTTTCATATAATACTAGTTACTGCATAAAATTTAATTTAATTTCTTATTTTAAATTAAAACAATCAATATAACTGTTTAAATGTTTGTTATGCCATGATATTTGCATTGTGTAACAATTAACATTAATTTAAAGTAATTTGAAATGTTGAAGGAGAAGCCATGTTTTAAAAAAATGCCTTTATTAGAACTTTTTAATAAACTGAAATTAATGACTGAATGACTATAAATAGTGAATATAATGTAGTTATATTTGAAATTCTTTTAATTAACAAAGAAAAAATACATTGAATGGCCTTTTTATTAAGTTATATAATGATACTCCAAGAATTTTTTATATTTGCTTATTACAAATTTCCATTTATTTGAAGTATAAATGTCAGAAATAAATCATGAGAGAGAAACATGAACAAATGCTTTATTTTTTTTATAAAACAAAAAATTCAAATCACAATTTAACAAAACACAAAAACATATAGCTTAACCTTTTCCATAGCATTCAGTATTCTCTTCTTTGAGTCATTCTAAAGCAGACAATTCTCTTTGAACTAAAACAAAATTAGTGTGCATCACTCTTAGACAGTTTCTCAACTTCTGTTGATCATTTTTTTTAAAAAAATCTAAAATTTCTTACATGTTTTATAAATAAAATTGTGCAAGTACAAAAAATGGAAAAGCATATGAAAGTATACTTAGTTATTATGTTTGTTATTATTTAATATAATTAGTTGGATTATAGGATATGTTTTTATTTAAGTTTATATTAATTTATTTTTAGGAAGTGCTGCATTGGGTGGTATATCTCAGGTAATGTGAAAATTACATGTTAATATTAAATCTTAATATGTAAATATTTTAAAATATTTATATATAAAAATCTTTAATTTTTTTAAATAATAAAGCTAATGTGGTAANAAAAATTACTTATACAGACACTTTTAATTTTTACTTAGAAATACTGTAGATAAATTCATTTATTATAAAGGCGACAAACAAAAATTTATTTGAAAAATACAAATATTTGTTTTATTTGGGTTTCTAATTAATAAAAAAATGACGAAACACTATTTTAAAGTGCATTTTTAGTTGACTAATATATCTATAAATAATATGTAGCCCAGAAAGTAGCCAATGCGCCAAATGATAAATTTTATGTCAAACTAAAAAAGGGTAGCAAATTTGGCGCAAAGTAGCAAAATCTTGCAATGCTGGAAGGAATACTAAATAATGCTGGAGTTGAAACTCAGAGGATTATAGACCCATATTTGAGAAAAGGAGAGAAGGCCAAAAGATAAAATGTAGTGAGAAAGGTTAAATAGACGTTCTGTTATGCAAATATTGACCCTTAATTTTCCAACCTTCCTCATTACTTTTTATCTTTTGGTTTTTCTTGCTTTTTCTCAAATTTGGGTCTATAATCCTTTGAGTCACAACTTCAGCTTTATTTAGTATTCCTTCATCATTCACACATCTCCAAGCATCTGAAAATATTTTCTTTTCACTCAAACGTAAAATATTATAAAAGTTTATGGCTTTGTGAAACTTCTTTTTTGAGTTTATGCCGTCGAAATTAAATAAAAAAAAATAAAATAATTTGTCGGTTTTGTTTACATGTCTATTGGACCGCATACGGCCTGCGGGCTGAGCGTTGAATACCCCTGGTTTAGATGATAATTTTAAAATTGAAAATAACTGTCTTTTTGTGTGTCTTCGTAATTGTCTTATTATTTTTTCCAGATTGTTTAGTCGATTTTTTCTTGAAACACCTTTAGTAACAGACAAAGTAATGGATGTATTAAAAAGATTCTGTCATGATGAGGTATTTATAAATTAAACAATTAAAAAATTTAGATTTATTAAAACTGTATTTGATAAAATTAATACAGTTTAAAACAAAATTTGAAATAAAACTGTTAAAAATGTTTCAGATAAATTATTTGATTTTTGCAAAATCATAATCATAAATTCTTAATCCATCAGTATTTGTTTAAAAGATTAAAAACATTTAGTTGCATAAATATTATTATTAACAAGTAAGCATTAAGAAATATTTAAGAATTGTAAATATTTTAAAAACATATNAAAATTACATGTTAATATTAAATCTTAATATGTAAATATTTTAAAATATTTATATATAAAAATCTTTAATTTTTTTAAATAATAAAGCTAATGTGGTAATTTAATCAATAATTTTTACTATTAACTTATATATATAAGAATATGTAATTTGAAAATATTTCAGATAAGAATAAAAATTTTAGCATGTCTAGCCACTCAGTTTAGAGCTGAAATAAGTGAAAGTGAGTATATTTCATTTTATTTTTCTCTACAAAATTTTTGACTTTTTATTGAAAAAATATTTTTTAGTGTTACGCAACTTCATTTTTGAAGATTTTCGAAATCGTGCTGATGTTGCATTTGCTTGGTTATATGAAGAATATGCAACTTATCAAGGATTTAATCAAATGTCTCAGCTTACAAACAAACCTTCTATAGAATATTATGAAAATTGTTTTTGTTTGCTTTTAGAAGGTTTATTATCAAAAGGAGATCAGAAAGAAAGAGATATGTATGAAAATTTAAAATTTTTAAATATATTTGTTAAAATAGTTATAAGGATTGTTTTAATCATATATTCAGATATATCAAAATAACAATAAGAACATTTTTTTATTTAAATTTATTATATAATAATTCAGACTCCAAACAAGCAATGTTAAAAATATGCATCAAAAATTTTAAAAGTAATACAATTCCAAAATGTGTATTATTTCTTATGCTGAAATAATGTGTTTTATTGAGATGATATGTAGTTAACAAGCTGCATTTTTTACTGCATTAATTGGTTTTAGAGATTTTGTTCTCTTCTATCATCACTAATCATATATCGAAACCTATATTAAGTCTATCTTTTTTTATTCTATTGGATTATTAAAGACCTGTTTATTTAATAAATACCATTTTAATAATTTACTTTAGAAAATGTTAAGAGATTGTTGAATATAGTTTAATCATATTTGCCAATGGCAAATTAAGATCTTATTTGCCATTGGCAAATATGATGCTTAGATTACTTTCTATGTTTAATAATTAAACTGCTTTCATATTCAAAGAAAAATAAATGAACAAATAAAATAAAATGTAAAATGTACAATTTATGTAGTTAATGCAAATTAGTTTTTATTAATGGGAATTGTTAATTATTTCATTCAGTGTAACCCCCTTCTGGTGAGTATATCTGAAAATCTGTTGTAAGTCAAAACATTATAAATAGGCTCAAACTTTTCTATCAATTTTTATGGTTAAAATTTCTTCATTGACCCATCACTACCTGTGTCCCTCAAATAACATTAAAGGACTAGAAAACTCTTATGTAGTTATCAGCTAATGATTCTGAATAAAATAAGATAAATGAAACTGGTGATTAGATTGTTCATTGATATAAAAGGAACTAATATGAAATGAGAGAAGCAATTATGACATAAGTAAATTTATGTTATCAGGCATTTCTTTAGTTAAGAGTAAGAAAACAAAAGTTAGTAAAAGTTTATAAATTAAACAATTAAGAATATTAGATCCATTAAAATTATATTTTAGAAAATCAGATGATGATTGGGCAGTAAAATAGTGTAAATTAAATTGTTTTTAATTAACGGAATTGTAATTGCTGATAGAAGAACCTGTAAGACAAAAATTTATTAATCTACACAACTGTGTAAGAATGAATAGTGCTGTTCATAGTAAACAAAAATACAATGTCAATTAAATAAAGAAAATAAAATTAGGGCCTGCAATTCATCTAATTCTAATGTTTGAGAACTTTGTGCTGATAATTAAAATATTTCGTTTTTGTAAACATTGGTCAGTACTCATTGTTTCAAGTATTTTGTCTTGTAAATGGGGAATAGAAAGAGAGAAGAAAATAGGTCATTATATCAAATTGTTGTAAATAAGGGTCACACTGTACAATGTTTAGATCAGTGGTTCTCAAACTTTTTTAGGTTTTCTTGCATGATGGTCTCTATACAATTTTTTAGATTGCTTGCAGATTCTTTAAAATTAACTACAATTAATATATAGGCTACTGTTACAAAAAATTTTGACAAACAATTATTTATTCAGAAAATGGCAAATTTTAGTCAACAATTGTACATTCAATGGGATTGGTGCATCTGCTTTGTCTGAAGTGACCCCTTTGCAGTCCTCTAGGGCAGTGTTCCACAACTGGTGTGCCATCACAAGGTGAAAGGTGTGATGGGAACTTTTACATATTATATTAATTGCTAAGTTTTATTTATATATTTTTTCACAGTTGCTGTGTTTCTATGCTTGTATTTGATTATCTGCCACAGCACTGATGAAATAAGATGACGTTTGTTTATTCTTTATTACAAGCCACACATTTTTATGTATTCTAAGAAATTAAATGTAAAATAAATTTGCTCACAGGTGTTGATGTCTATTTAATAATAATAATAATAATAACTCTCCCTTGGTTACCACCTGGTCTTGGTGGGAGAGCCCAGTAATTTTACTGAACTATAGGGCAATGCAGGCTGGAGCACAAGCTCCTGGTAGGGACACCCATGCCAGTAAGGTCTGTGGGCAGAAATGAAGCTAAGAGTGACCACACCTACATTCTGTGGAGATAATTATCATGGTAGTAACCAGATCAAAGTGTGATACCAGCTTGGACGTCGCCCGGGTTAACAAGGTCCGCGTTCGTGAGTTAGGCAGAGGTTCAATAGGCTCCAGTCTCCCTTGGTTACCGGTGGAGAAAGCAGTGCTGGCCCAAGCATGGCTACTGCAATGCCCTCAACAGATGTGAGGAACCAACTTAGCCTTGGTGTTTCTGTGGCAATGCATCCACAGACCACAAAGGCTGGAAAACCATGCAAACGGATGAAATGGACATCAGAAATGAACGAGTTTACCATCCGTACTTACTACACAATCACAAAACTCGAAACAAACATGACAGCATACACACTACTACTACACCATAGATTCACACAACGATATCCTTACCTCACTGTCACCGAACAAAGGGTTGTTGATCAAAAAAGAACAATTATACACAACAACCTTATCCCACAAACAACACTCGTACTTATCAAACAACAGGTTGCTGATCAAATACATCAACAGACAGAAACATTTAACATTATTAATGATCACGTAACCTGTCAGGATAATCCAGCAACAAGCATTGATAATAGCACACATACAACAACTACCAGTAATGATACTACAGGCAATTCCGCATCCATCACTGATAACATAGATATAGATTTAGTTAATACACTCTCACTTATATTTCAGGAAACACGTAAATTACGAAAACACTCACTTACTACCAAACTACATTCATTCAATTTCTACACTCTCAGACATTCATACATTAGTTTATGCTGGGGCAGTCACAGTAGTAACACACCACGGACTGAAAATACAATTGCAGACAGATACAAAACACAATTCTATCACAAGCCTGCCTGGCAGAGAAGAATAGAAACACAAATAAATGACATTAGACAGCAATTAGGCAGGCTGACACAATACACTAAAAACAATGTAACACCCAAATTAAAGAAACAACTCAAAAACATTTTCAAGAAAATCAAAACGCACACAAAACATGAACATCACAACACACACATTACAGAATACATCGATACACTAAAACAGAAACTCGCAGCCAAAGCACGTAGACTCAAATGATACAAGACGTGTACACTACGAAAACAACAAAATATTATTCACAAACAATGAAAAACTTTTTTACAGACAAATCAGTACCAAAACAAACACTGATACACAGCACAGTGGCACACCAACAGAAGAAGAACTCACAACTTATTGGTCTTCTCTTTGGTCCAATGCTGTTGCACACAATGCTGATGCAGGCTGGATCAAGGAGGAGAACAGAAACCCGCATAACATACCAACTATGCCCTGTGCTGAAATAAACGTACACGATATCCGCTACGCTGTTAACAGAACATACAACTGAAAGACACCTGGTGTAGACAACATTCACAATTTCTGGTATAAAAAGTTTACATCACTGCACCAGGAACTAGCCAAACATCTAACACACATCATCATCAATCCACAAGACATGCCAAAATTTCTTACTCAGGCATTACCTACATGAAACCTAAAAACAACAACACCACAGACCCCGCACAATACAGACAATTACATGTCTTCCAACACACTACAAATTATTGACATTCTGTATCACAAACAAAATATACAAACATGTTGAAGAACACGACATTCTTATAGAACAACAAAAAGGTTGCTGTAGAAATTACAGGGGATGCAAAGAACAGTTACTAATAGATTCAGTCATTCTACGGCAAGCACACAAACAACACAGAAACATACACATGGCATATATAGACTACAGAAAAGCATTTGACAGTATTCCACACAGTTGGCTGCTACATATTCTACACATGTACAAAATACATCCGTCACTCATTGCATTCTTCAAAATCACTATGCAGCACTGGAGAAAAACACTGCATCTTAGGGTTAGTAACACTTCCATACGAACAAATGAGATATTCATTAGGTGAGGAATTTTTCAAGGAGATTCCTTGAGTCCTCTCTGGTTCTGCCTAGCCCTGAACCCATTATCCAACATGTTAAACAACACGCATTATGGCTACAATATCAGACATGAAAAAACAACACAGTTTACGCTGTCGCATCTCATGTACATGGACGACATAAAACTTTATGCATCCACACAGAAACAACTTCATCAACTCCTACAAATCACACACTCATACACTAAGGACATACAAATGGAGTTTGGCTTAGACAAATGCAAAAAATTTCATATAAAAAATGGAATCCTGAAGAAAGATTTTGCACTTGGAAATGGGGACATTATTGAATCCATGGAAGAGGGCGAGTTCTACAAGTATTTAGGATTCCAACAGACAAAAAGAACAGAACATACACAAATAAAGCAAAGATTAATTAAAGAATACCAAAATAGGTTAAATGCAAAACACACAGTTAAAGCAATAAACAGATATGTCATCCCAGTACTCACATACTGTTTTGGAGTTATACATTGGACTCACACAGATCTCGAGCAACTCCAAAGGAAAACAAGAATAACACTTACTAAGCATAAACATCATCATCCTAAATCCACCACAGAAAGATTAACCCTTCCACGTAAAGATGGTGGACATGGCCTGATTGACATAGTTAACCTTCACTACAAACAACTACAGTCACTGCGAGAGTTTTTCTACAGGAAACAAGAAACATCATAATTACATAAAGCAGTAACTCTAGCAGACTCAAATAGTACACCATTAAACTTACACTCACATCATACAGACATGACACAACACATAAAAAGCATAGACACCATCAAGCAATCGTGGGCTCGAAAGGCACTCCACGGCAGGCATCCTTATGA